TTAAAAAAAAAAACGATTCTGAGAAGCCAGGATAGTTTTTGCGAAGGGAAACAGGATGGAGGGACAGGCGACTGGCGATTAGGTCTACCACGACCAGATTACTTAAACCTCGGACGCTGTGCTAAATTAATATTATGCTCACATCCCCGGCCATTGCTCTTGCCATCTTTTTTCTCTATTTTGTATTGTGGCTGCGTGCTCATTTAATTTTTTATTGTTACTTTCCCCCATTTTGTAACTTAGTATCATATTACATTCCGTCATTATAATAGATGACAATGTCAGTCATGGACTTACAAGGTATTTCTTATTTGATTTTGAGCAAGAACTGAGCTTCGTTGTGCTTGTGAACATTTGGCTACATAAATAGTTTTACAAACGTCACGGAGGCAAAGTCAGACTTGTAATTATAGTAAAAAGTTTAAAGGCAGAGGGGGTTTTGGCGAAATAAAAAAAAATTGTTACTAATGACTAAACAGTGTTTAATATGTTTTTACAAAAGGCTTTAAATTTTGGAGGTAGAAATTGTTTTGGACAGAGCGTTTTGATTAGACAACGTGATATTGGCATAAGACATAAAATGAGAAATTTCAAAATTACGTTCAAACATCATTTGCAAATTAGCGCTAGTGATTCGCCCCCTTTGCCTTGAAATGGCTGCTTTCATAATCAGTCACGCAGTAAGCAGTGTAACTATTAACTAGGTCACATACTTCAATGGATCGGAATATTAAATTTTATGGTATTATTTGTAAAAACATACCAAAATTAGAAAAGGAAGTCACCTTTATGCAGTTCTTTAATTTTCAATTGTGACTATTTTGCTGTACTATAATTATGACACATAATTTTATTGAAAACCATTCACTCAATTTCAACAGCCAAAATTTGAAAAGAGCCATTCCACAAAATTTTTCCCATCTTGAATATTTCGTATGTATTTACTGCCACTACTAATTCTACCGATATAGTTTAAAATTCTGTGTAGGTAACATGAGGCACAACTGCAATTTTTACCTAATGAGATGCGCGTAATGAGACAAAGGAGGCATGGAGGGCACAAAATATCACGTGGGGAAGATATTGGTGGATGGCAAAACCATGTTCAACATGCAGGCGTCAAACCCATTTTAACGCATCAAAGATAAGTTATAGACAAATACCTAAAGCCATTGCTTTAGAACGTTTCGTTGAATCGGTTTTAAAAAACTGAAATATCCATATACTTAGTATACTGCATGACCGCCTGGCATCCACACCCTGGTCACTCAGAACTGAGGAAGAAGTGGCATCTCTGCCAAGGTTTCAGGTTTCAAGGGATCCATCGTGGTAGGAGGCAGGAAGAACCGCCTTTTCTATTTATTAATTACCATAATTTGACAGACAAAATTTGATTAACAATGTAATAAAAAAGTAATGCACATGGAGCTTTTGTTTCCCGCATATTTCAAAATACACTAGATTAATTTAATTAAATCAAACTTCAGACCCTTACACACCTCAAAATAATTATGGCATTAATAATGATTATGCAGGTCACTGGCTATCCTTATATGGTCAACTGCATGCTGCAATCTAAGGGACCATTCCCACAGATATTTGGATCGATCTATCTCCCTGGGGAGTCTCACTAAATTGCTATCAACTTAACCGGCTTAAATGTCTGTCACGCCTAGTAAGCTGTTAGGTGGTAATTATCTTTACACTCTAGCTGACATTTAAGCTGGCAATTTGATAGCAATTTAGTGAGACTCCCCAGGGAGTTAGACCGATCGAGATGGATCGATCTAGACATGGGAACCCAGTCTAAAGCATGGCAACTCAATTTCAAGGTCACAGTAAGATTGCCAGTATCTGTCTTCCTAGTCAAGTTCAATAGCAACTATGGACATATCTCTGCCAGTTGTGGAAGTATAATGAATGGAATATTTGCAAAGTTCAGTTTATGGTAACAAATAGGTCACAAGTCAAATTCAAGGTCACAGTAAAATTGCCAGTATATGACTTCCTATTCAATTAATATATAGCCATGGGCATAGTTTTGTATATATGAGGGCCAGAAAGTTTGTATAGTTCAGTTTAGTTCATCATGGAAAATAGGCCCAAGGTCAATTTGAAGGCCACAGTAAGACTGTCAGTATATGACTTCCTATTCAAAATCAACAGTAACTATGGTCATATCTCTGTCAGTTTGGGACGAAAAGTTTGCAAAGTTCCTTTCAACATGAAAAGTATGTCAAATATAAGAATATATTAGAAAGTTTTGGCCCGCTTGACCTTGAAATAAAGGTCAAAGGTGAAATCCAAGGGCATATCTGGAATCTCCACATATAACTTTCGGTCAGACTTCTATAGTAACTTTTACTACAATCCTGGTTTGGAAGATATTTAGCATTTTATTTTCAAAAGTTTTGACAAGGGTGCGTTACGAGCGTCACGCCTACAGTATATGCAAACACGTAGTCAATTCCACAGAGGAGTTTTCCGGGTTGAACAACCTGAGCAGCAGAAAAATATTAAGGTAAGTTGTGATTAAAGCAATAAAGGTATGTTCAAAATAATCATGGTAACTTTGATTTCCAGCGCTCCAGGAATTTCCACAGTTCTATTCAGAATATAAGCAAACTGGACTGTCCATTGGAAGTTTGTTAAACTTGTTCAATATTCTTCAGAGATGTCATCTATCTTGATAAGGGTGTCATACTTCCACCAGCAAACTTGGATATATTCACTCTAAGTCTCACACACAACAATATAACTTGCATTTCACATCAGCATATGCTTTTCCTAAAAGGTGTAGTGAACGTCCTAAACCGAAGGAAGTTTTCACTCACTATCGCTAATTTACGCTCATTTACTTGTTCACATGTAATCTTTCACTCTCACGATGGATCCCAGATTCGTTGGTCTAAAACTTCCAGTAAGTGCGTGCGACGGAACCCAAGTCAACAACAAGGATATTTCAACATAATGCTGCTTTATTAGGCAACTGACCCCGAGTCAATACAAAAAGTGGCTTTTATACAAGTTCCCTTTATCACTATGAACTTACGCGGATTCTGTGCTGCAAGCCCGTGTGCTGCTTGCGCGTCAAAGGTTTATTGTCTCTATTTACATCATGACGTTGTCGGGAGCGTCTCTTGGACTCCGGGCACTCACGACATATTCCTTCATTTTTCGCGAGAAAAAAACATGATAAAATCTTTTTTCATTGCATTTACGTGACATTTATATTATATTACATTTATATTAATCTTTAATTAAAACGGTAACAGTTCTTATAATATATTTTAACAGTCTATATTTATTCCGGCGCTTGCGTCGTGGATTCTTCTTTTCTCTTCTTTTCCATGGGGACTTCAGGGTCTACATGTACTGATGAGGGCCCAGGACGATCTGCAGATCTTTGAGGGATTATTTAGTTCCCACAGGGCGTCCTGACGCCCTTTACCTTTGCCAGGCAAGCCCGACAAGGTTTTGTCGGTTTAGTCGCCGACGGCTCGACCATGAACAGGTAGTACCGTTTTACATGGTTAACGGTAGCAGATAACTGACCTGACTCTGCGTAATCAAAACATAAAAAACGCACAAAAAACGTTTTTAAAAGGCCTCTTCGCTGGTCTCTCTCCTAGGTTCGAAGTGTCGACGCCCTTCCCAGGATCGTAGTGTCGAAGGTGTTATCCCATGTACGAAGTGTCGAAGCCCCTTCCAGGATCGCAGTGTCGAAGATCTTCACACTGACAGAGACTCCATCACCCGAAGTCCATGTTCCAGTGACAGTTGTGCAAGAAAAACACCCACAACCAAAGACCACGCACCAAATGGAGAAAGAGGACACCACCACTTATTTATAATATCGCAATAAATCCCATCCCATACCGGGGTCATGTCAATACTCCCCCGCACCGTTCACATACCGACACTCAATATAAGTATAAAACTCAAAATAGGTTAATTTACGTAATGCTGCTTTATTAAGCAACTGACCCTGATTCAATACAAAAAGTGGCTTTTATACAAATTTCCTTTATTACTATGATTCTGTGCTGCAAGCCCGTGTGCTGCTTGCGCGCCAAAAGTGAATATTGTCATTACGTTGTCGGGAGCGTCTGTTGAACTCCGGGCGCTCTCGACAAAGGAATACTGCACATCTTCACTCCATCACATTTTTGCGAGCAAGAACAATTTCCTTTCAAGCATACAGTCACACCATACCACACTATAATCAGCACAAAACTAACTTTGCATGTTTCTGAGACAAACCAACAATTTTACAGCCGTCATACATCATAACCAATTGCAATTCAATTGCAATTGCCTTCAATGGCACCCACATCACACGTTCATTTAGTCTGGGATTCTTTTCTTTTTCTCACATTCAATGCACTTTCCTACACCCTTATACTGTGACAATTCGTAAATCCACCATTCAAGACAAATTGAAGAAGACAACAATCCCTTTGTGTGTAAAACAAAATAAAGCACTCTTACCTTTCCTACTGCATGTCTTTGAATTGCCTCATTTAAACATGCAATACACACCTTGAGGTAAAGACACTCAAAACTAAAGTAAAATTAACAGATAGCTTACCTTTTTGTTCTGGGTATTTGACTGTTCTGACTGTGACATTTACAAGTTTCAGAAGATATGGTAAATGAAATTATAATAGGCCTGCAATTTTCCCTTTTAGCGCTACTTGATGAAAACTTTGATGTTAAATTTGGTCTTTTAGTGATTAACAGTATGCAGTTTGAAAATAGGATCTAAGTGATTACTCATTTAGGTAAAAAAATTAATTAGACAGCAAGGCTGGCAAATATACAAACACTTAAAAGTAAAGAAGTAATTTCTATTGCTCCATTTTAACATAAACAAATACATTCCAGTAAATGTAAGTTTTGTAAAATATACCTCTGTCTTGCTGATTTTCAAAAGAAACCTACCTTTTTACAAAAAAAAAAAAAATTTTTGTGAAAAAGTTAAACAAAATTTAGTTTGTACTTATGGGACAAAAGCTGCCAAATACATGCAAAAAAAGAAAGATCTACTTTTATAAAGTAATGTTAGAAAGGAGCCTGCTATTTTACCAATCAAAGTCATTTAGTAAATTTCTGTTAAAAACGATATGGTTTGGCAGTCAAAGGGTTAAAAACAGATGAGACAGATGCAATCAACACAGACAAAAACAGTGATCAGAATAAATACTAACACATACAGTGTCTGTATATAAATATCTATCAAAATAACATCATAACATAATTGCAATATATTTTTTTCAAAAATGTAGTCTTGACTAAATGGAATATTGGTCAAATTTATAGAAAGATTAATTCTAGTGAAAAAATTATTAAATTTTTATAGAAGAGAAAACTTTTAATAGTTTGATTAGCAGAAAATACTGCTAAATAGGCATACCATACCCTGGACATACATACCTATACAAGACTGGACTGTTGGAGTCCAGTGCCCAGATGGAAGGCATTTATAAGTCTGGCTGGAAATTGTACCGCCAGATAGAAAATTGCCACTTTTGCAAATGAATGCAACCACAGTTCCTGCCAGTCGATGGGTGGTGTTTACAGTTGCTGTTGATCCTACTGGCAACATTGGGCAAAAAGTGTCTGAAGCACAAGGTGATTTATTATTATATAATATTTTAATATTAAAACATCAAAATATCACTTGCATTTTCCCATGACTAAGACTAACTGACTAACTAGACTAATGACTAACCTCTTAACTGCCAAACATACGTAATCTGCATGAAAACATTATCATTAACAAAAGGCACCTTTTTGAGGTACTTCACATCAACTAACATAAATAAAGTGCAGATCAGGTTAATGAAGCAGAATAATTAGACAATACCCAAGGTAACTAGCAGGTATTTTTTTTGCTCTCTAAATGAAAATCAATTTTTGAAAGAAAATTTCACCAGTTTCTTCTCTTACATGTACCATGAATTGGCTTACATATATATATGCACGAAATGGTAACCAGTGTAGTGTTGGTATTTGAGTGATACAATGAACAAAGGTTGTGATAATAAGATTTTTAATGGGAAAAAATTATCAAACTTTCAGATAAATAATTTTATAATCACAAAATAATATTTCTATATATCAATTGTGGTGCTGCATAGAATAGAATATAGAGTAGCATGCTTTTTTATTCTGTTGTAACGACTCAATAGTAATGTTTTAATTTAAAGAAATTATGACTTAAAAAGATAAAGTATCAATAAAGTTCACAATTTTCCCCCATTGAAAAGATTGAGTAATTAGTAATTGCCATACCTGTTCTGTACACTGCTGTCTTGCCAGTTCCCCCACACCACTGTGTTGTGTCACCACCAGAGCATGGTATGTTGCAGGTTGCTGTATCCACAATTTTACTGGTGCTGTATGTCTGTCCACACTGACAGGAACTTCCCTCACTTAATCCTTTAAGTACAAAGAGTCTTTGCATTGATTTTTCTTCACTGCCATCTTCATCATCAAACAATATGAATGTGTATTGTAAATCAAATCTATAAAGATTGTTATTCTTTTATTTATTCAATTTAAAATTTACTGAATGCTCTACAAATCATCAAAGTTCTTTCAAAGACACTAGCTATAGGGAATTTTTTTCTCAAGACACTTGCAGTGAGCACATGTTCTCAATATGCCTGAAACATGATATCTGTAACATATGATGATATGATTTAGCCATTAGGTATTAGTTTATGTCAATTTAAATTGCAAATTTCCATACATACCAGCTAATGCATAGCCATTTTGTTTGCATTCTGTGATACATCTTAGTGCATAGTTATTTTTTGCCTGCTGTATACCAGCCAAACTCTGTGTAGCTCCTGTTCCATGTAGTCCACCATTGCTCAACACACAGCCAACAAAGGTAGGGGCCTCTGATTGAAAGATGCAATTTTATGTTTTCATTTCTTTAAAATATATTTTTTAAAATAATGGTTGGTATTTTGATTACCCATTTATCATTACAATATTGATTAGACATTATTGCATATGAACCACAATAGTATGGCACCTTATGAATTCACTATAAAGAATATCTCCACTATTTTACATTAAGTTTGGCAATCAAAATGTGACTAGGTCATTCAGATCATTAAAGTTTTAAGAAAACCTGTGCAATTTTCCAATTCAGTGGTGTTCCACTGAGCCTCCAGAGAACAAGTGACCTCCTGTACCAAGCCATCAGAACCTTCTATCTGGTAGCCAGGATTGCAGTGGTAGCTGATTCTGGATGTGACAACTGTGCCTTCATCGAGCACAACTAACGCATTTGTCACTGATGGCCTGCTGCCACAATGCTTGGCTGTGAAAGGGCAATTTCATGTTAAATATATAAATGCTTAACTATTATTCAACTTGCCAGTCTTTTCTTATCAATTTAGTTAAGACATTTGTTATCTCTTATATAAAAAAGGGTGGAGAGCATACACTTTTGATCTCAGGGGCGGACCCAAAGATATTTTCTGACAGTCTTCCAAATTATCTTTGTTGATTCATCCTTCATTTTTGACCATCTTCCGACAGAAAAAATTAGATACCCATCAATGTAAACTTGAAAATCTGACCGTCTTCCGGAAGACCCAGAAGACGGCCTAAATCCGCCCCTGGATCTCGCTTGCATTTGCCAAAATAAACTGAATTGCAATTGCACATATGTAAATTAATCATTCTGAGAAATACTTGTCTAATGCACCACTGATCCCACTTAACCTTGTGACTTTAAGAAGCTATTCCTCTTATTCATATGTTATGTATCAAACAGTCAGGTTACACATTCTAGCAGAGAGACACTAAGCTATTTGACCATTTTTTCCCAAAAATTTGAAATTCTAGCTCAAAAGGATGCCTTTAGGTTTGTTGGAGTCCAGAGAAAGGTATATACGACAGCTAGTCCACCACAAGTAAGTAAGACATATGTATAGCCCTTGTACCCTTGGTATAACAAATGTGTACTTACGCTCGCAGTGTACCAAAATATTGCTCCATGTCCCATCAGCCTGACAGGTGCTCTGTGTGAATACAGCTCCATTTGGAAGCTGATATCCATTATAACAAGTGTAGTTCACATTGCTGCCATATCTGATGCCTCCTTGCACACTGGTGCTGTTTGCAACTGATGGTGGTGAGGTTGTGCAATTAACAACTGAAATTGAATGAGGCATTTGTTGTAACATCTGTTCAGTTTATTTTAATGGAATTCACTTGCTATATTTCAAAGGAAAAATTCATCCAATTGTTTTGAAAATAGCAAAGTGGTTATAACCATCATAAGGAAAATGGTCCACTCCAAAAAACGTTTTTCCTCTCATCTTAAACAGTTAAAGTAGTTGTTATCATGAAATACGAACACAAATGAAAATTTTACTTTACTATATATAATCCAATCAGAATGTGTGTCAAGCACTTCAGCCTACCCTGTCCTGGTCATTTCTCTTGAAATAAAAATGGACTTACCCTGGCAATCTGGGGGTGTCTGTGTCCACTGTACCTGTTCACATTGTATTGCTGTTATGTTCTCTGCATCAGATGGAAACATATATCCTGTATCACACTGATACCCAACCACAGAACCATGGGTTCTGGAAGTGCTGTTTGATCTGGCACGAGATACTTGTGGAATGGGAGGGCATTGAAAATCTGTAATGTAGGTTTTTCATGCATATGGATGTACATTGTACTTTGTAAAAGTCTAAAGTGGAAATAAACAGCGACATGCACTGGTATATACAAACACATTTTGGGGTTATCGTGTGGGTAGAACTTCCTTAGAAGCAGACTGAAAACTGAAGGAGATGGCCATACCTAATTTTGTCAACAGAGTTTGACCGTCTGTCCAGCTGAAGGACATATCCATTACTTGTATGGGGTGGGAAGGATAGGGGATAAAAACAATTTCTGTTTAAAAATTATAAAAAAGCATAACAAACAAAGCTGTATATGGTATATACAAACACATTTTGGGGTTATCGTGTGGGTAGAACTTCCTTAGAAGCAGACTGAAAACTGAAGGAGATGGCCATACCTAATTTTGTCAACAGAGTTTGACTGTCAGTCCAGCTGAAGGACATATCCATTACTTGTATGGGGTGGGAAGGATAGGGGATAAAAACAATTTCTGTTTAAAAATTATAAAAAAGCATAACAAACAAAGCTGTATATGGTATATACAAACACATTTTGGGGTTATCGTGTGGGTAGAACTTCCTTAGAAGCAGACTGAAAACTGAAGGAGATGGCCATACCTAATTTTGTCAACAGAGTTTGACTGTCAGTCCAGCTGAAGGACATATCCATTACTTGTATGGGGTGGGAAGGATAGGGGATAAAAACAATTTCTGTTTAAAAATTATAAAAAAGCATAACAAACAAAGCTGTATATGGTATATACAAACACATTTTGGGGTTATCGTGTGGGTAGAACTTCCTTAGAAGCAGACTGAAAACTGAAGGAGATGGCCATACCTAATTTTGTCAACAGAGTTTGACTGTCAGTCCAGCTGAAGGACATATCCATTACTTGTATGGGGTGGGAAGGATAGGGGATAAAAACAATTTCTGTTTAAAAATTATAAAAAAGCATAACAAACAAAGCTGTATATGGTATATACAAACACATTTTGGGGTTATCGTGTGGGTAGAACTTCCTTAGAAGCAGACTGAAAACTGAAGGAGATGGCCATACCTAATTTTGTCAACAGAGTTTGACTGTCAGTCCAGCTGAAGGACATATCCATTACTTGTATGGGGTGGGAAGGATAGGGGATAAAAACAATTTCTGTTTAAAAATTATAAACAAGGCAGCAAAGCTGTCAAATGTACAGACAAAAAGCAGGAAATAACTATGCACAAAATAGGCTACTGTCAATTCTGATGCAAAAGTACATTATGTTAAACTGCAAATTCAACATCNAAACAAAGCTAAATAAAATGACTGGCTAAAATGTCAGAGAATTTTAATTATCTTGAATGCACCTTTTTGTCTTTCAATATCACATATTTCATGTGTAGAAAAACCCTGCCTGAAAGTTGGAAAATATATTCCTTAAAATTTAAATACTGTAAAATAACGAGCAGAACTTAAACTGCTTCAGACTTTGTTTTTTTTTAGACTTTTTACACAATCCCTATTCAAATGACACATTCCACTGTATTATATTCAAATAGTTTCCAAAAGTCCCTTCCCCCATTTTCAACAGAGTACCTGCTGTTTTCTGATAAGAATTACCTACCCCATACTCTGTACACTGATAGCATTCCCTCATCACCACAATATTGATTGGTGTTACCAGTGCATTTTTGTTTACAATGGCTGGATTTCTTGAGTTGACCAATTCTGCCAAGGCTGTTGCTACAGGAACAATTCCCTAGAAAATGACACATTGTCAAATAAAAATTGTTTTGAACATTATCTGCAAAGAAAGATCTTCAGCTTATCATGAATTCCAACAGATTTTAAATAGTCAAAATTATCTTTCTAATGCATAAAAAACCTTTGATAAACTGAAATGTCATAATGAAATTCTCAACCTTGGACACCAAAGAAACTCACCAACACTGATTCCAGCATAGATCATATCAAGGTTCCTGCAGTTATTGATGCATTCATCTGCTGTTGTGACAGTACCAGCAGAAACAGGCATTTCTGACAAAGCACCACTAGACTCTATGTAGCATCCAACATAATTATCATTATCTAAATCAAAATAGTAAAATTATGATTTATATCTCCTATCAGAATTATGATTCTTTAAAAAAGGCGTGATTATATCTTATTGCATTGTATTTGATAAACATGCAAGTATTGCACAAATTTAGTTGTGTTTTTTGTTGATAAATAAATCAATTACTTACAATTATCAATAAAAAGTCTCAAGAGTCACCTTGTGCATGTTAATTTACAAGCTTAAAATCATGTATGCGGCTTAAGCAAAAATATGAATAAATTGGCACTTGGTAGGTTGTTAACTTGTGCTATCACATACTAGTACTGATACCTTATTTTTGTACAAAAGGTCTAGTAATAATGTATGTGAAAAGCACAAATTAACAACCTACCATCCACTGATTGAATCGAGCATCCAAGTACTTCTAAGCGCAATTCAGGTCTCCCATTCCAGGCCAGAAGATGTATACTTATGGCATCTGCTATGAATGGTGGGTGCATATACTGTGTAACCAGCCCATTCCAATCAGTGTTCCCTGACAGCTGAAATATTTTACTCCAATTCTCACAAGGTATGGAATATGCAAAACAGTTGTTCTTAATGTTCAATAGTAAGATACCCAGACACTGTAATATATTTAAGATGTACACTTATACACTGTAATATTTTGAAAAAACACACACACTGAACAAACCAACTAGTGGTTTTCAAAAACAATTGACACAAACTTAAAATATGAAAATAAATACATTTTTATGAGTCTCAGAATATACCGGTATGTTATCTAAAAGTACAAATGCCATTGTTACTCAGTACATGTCTCTCCATACCTCCAGAGTTCCATTGGAAGAATAGTTGTGCCACCCCTTTCCATCATTGTAGGTAACTCTGTACTGTGTTATCCAGTTTGTTGAAGTGGACTGTGTGGTATAACCCCCTAAGAGCAGAGAAAATTAATGTTTTTTAGCTTCTACCTATATGTACTCCTCCCCTCTATCTCTTTCATCATCACTTCCTCAAATTAAAGCACAAACTACCCTTCCAAATTGTCTCCCCAACAGCACAAAAGTTAATCATCTTTATAGTTATTACCTGTTATGAAAAACATTACTGTTACCCTACCTTGTGTGACAATCCCAGTTACAATGCGCCTGGTATTAAAGGTGAGCTTGACCCAGGGGGCACTATCAGAAGTATTTGGAGCCCATGCACCTTCATCATAAAGACTGGAAAAGTATATCAGAAACCATTTATAAAAACCTGTTTTCTACATATGTTCCATAAAAAATTCATACAATTTGTAGGAAATTGTTTAAGATCTACATGAAAAAAATTAATTTCTAGATTTGCAATAAGATTCAGTCAGCAAGAAAAGGGGGGGGGGGGGGGTCCCTCTGCTTGATCTGCAGATGTATGTTAATTTGAATTTACTGTAACTTATACTAAGTGATATGTCAAAGCATCTTACTGAATGCTTTGTTTTTGAAAGTTGGCTTCTGCTGCTTCTGATGACACTTCTACTTGACTGGATGATAACAGAGACTCACTGCAGGGTTCTAATTTAAAAAAAGGTAAATTAGGAAAATCAAGGTCTGTCTTTGACCCCATTCACATAGACATTATCAGTTTACATAGATCAATCCAACTTTGTGGGGACTTTGGCTGAGTGCAATCAGCTTAACTGAATGATATACCTCGTCTTCTTTCCAACATTCTTCTGTAATCACCAACATTTCTGTATTCTTCTCAATGCCAAGAGGAGGCCTGATATTCAGTTAAGCGGATTGTACTCAGCTAGAGTCCCCACAGAGTTGGATTGATCTAAACATTATGATGTCATTTAACATGTTGTATAAACTTAATATTCAGTTGACAGCAATTACAAAATTTCAGAATTTATTTCAAGCATGTTTTTCTTATGTTTCAGACATACCCATGAAGCATTCCACCCTCAAAGAAACCTCTTTCCCATCAGGGCGTATCCAGTATTTACCAGGGAGAACCACACCTTGACTTTTTAGAGATTCACAAGATAACGCTTTGAAGTGATATAACGCTAGGGTAATGAAAAATATAACACCAATGCAATTAATATTGTTAGCTTGTCGAAATCAACGAATGATCTTATGAATGTTAATTAGTTGTTTACCTGTTCCTTAAAAAAATTAAATTTAATGAATGATTGAAAAATAAGTGTTACAAGTTCAATTCAGTGAAATTTAGACATATTTCATTTTTTTACTACATAAACAAAGGAAAACAATTCCTTCTTAAACTAAAGGTATCTGCCATTAAGACTTACGAGTTATAAACAAAAGGGCATGACTGGCACCACCACAGTTTTCCAGCGAATTCCCAGTGCACGTCTCCTCACACATCATTTCGTCTGCTTTTGCTAAATCATTATAGCTTGTTCTACAATAGCAGTGAGTGAGGGACAGAGCAACTATAGGGTAATCAAGTCCCCGGCAGTACTCTATACACTGTAATGCTGACATGTGTTTATCACTGGTTACTTCTGCTTCGGAGATTGTCGGTTTCTGGTAGCATCCCAGGTATCCTTGAAAATAAAGAACAATGGATTAATATCTGAAACCTATATTTACGGTAGCGTCATTCTGACAAGGAGCATATAACTAAGTTAACAAAAGGATAATATATTTTGTAATTTAGATATGTAGTTTTAAAACCCTCTGTGTGCGTGCGTGCGTGCGTGCATGCATGTAAAATCAAAGAATTTTTATTTGTTTAAATTTGTATTTTTTTCTAATTGATCCAGTTTAATCTAAACATTATAGATTGATTGATCACTTTTCCATAAGAACTCACCATAATTCTTTTGACAGATAAAAGAGGAGGCTGAGTCATTAAAATCCTGCAGTAAATATCCACTACCCTGTGACATAACCATGAATTGGTTCCAAACATCAGATGGTTCATTGGTATCCATGATACCTGTAACATCTGTGAAGGAGCCATCAACACTGCGATAAACATTTAAAGAATATGGATCGTGTAAGCCAACCAGCCATTTTGAAATTGATGAGTACTGTGGTAATGTGGAGAGGACATTCTGAAGATGACTCTTTATGTCAGTGTCTGCTGGCACGGCTATATAGCCACCAAATTCCAAACATTTCCTTCTGGCTTCAGATGGAGAAACTTCTGTTGAATTGATGATGAAGCAGTTGCCCCAGTACCCATAACCCCAAGGACTGGCGCACTGTGTTTTATCTGCTAGGTCTGGAGAGAAAAAAAACGTATTTCACTACAATAACCAGTTGCCTTAATTCTTACCAGGCAAAGCCTATATACAAATATTTCAGTAATATTATGGACAACTATATACCAAGAAGAGAATTGTTCACTACAGCGCGTTTCTTTACCATATCATCAAAACAGTTTTTGCCATTTCATACATCTTTTTTTAATAGTTTCTCTCAATTCGGAGGTTTTGACACAGGGAGAAAAAGAGTTATACTCAGATTTAAGTCTCTAAAATGATTGACATACATGCACATGTTGGTGGATGTCCGTCCCAAGTAAAGTTTGCCTGGCATGTGAGTCTTAAAGATCCATTGACAACATCGTAGCCTGGCAAACAGCCATATGTGACATCTCCTCCTATCTGATATCCCCCCACTGTTTTTGTGGCATTCACCCCCTCACCAGGGTCATTACATCCTAAAGTATATCATCAAAATATTCCATATACAAAACTTTTTTCATGGAGGTAACAAAATATTGTTAATCACAATATCTTAAACATTTACCTGCATGAAATACTTACAACTTGTTTGAAAATATTTGTTTAATATAATGGGGATATTTATTCTTAAACAAAATTACAGATTTTCCAAATTTTTCGTATATCCATCCTCCATTTTTGACCGTCTCCTGACAGACAAAAGTATGATGCATGTAAATGTAAATCAAAATTCTGACTGTCTTCTGGAAGACCCAGAAGACGACCTCCATCTTCCCCTGAAGATATTTCCCTTACGGTCACACTCCAATGGTGCCCCTCCTGCCCACTGTCCAGTCACTCCACAGGTAAAGCTTACATTCCCTGCACTCTGTGAATAACCAGCATCACAAGTGTACTGAACCTCCTCTGAGTTCCTATAGTGGGTTTTCACTGGGCTGTAGGAGGCCATGGTACCATTGGGTGGAGGTGTGCAGCCTGAAAAAGAGCATTGATTGCCACTTGTTTAGAAAGAATATACAGATCTTTTCGGAGATACTAAACATTCTCAGTTTAACTAGTATACCTATGTCTGTTTTAATTTCTGTTACCATATACTGGTATCTTGACACTATATCTATATGAATTAAAAGTGCCAGGAGTAAATATCAATAGAAATATTTTCAAGGTTGTAAAGAAACTCCAAAATTAGATAAATATATGCTCCAAATATCCCCCACCCCCCGAGATGATTTGTTCACAACCAACATACCACAGGCTGCCTTTGTTATTGTTATATCATCAATAGCAATAGAGCTGTCATCCACCGTGGCACCTGATGCTTTTATTCCTTCAAATATGACCTGAAATCATGACCGATATTAGTGACAACAATCTACACTATGTTCTGATGCCAAAATTGCCAATCATGCAATCCAAAGAGGATATTTGATAGACTCGATATACACTGTTTTTCATCATCATAAAATTTCAACATTGTGAATTATCAGAATTCACTAAATCAAGCTGGTTTTAACCAAAAGCTCTCTTACTTGGAACCTCTCCGTAGTGTTTATGAGGACATCCACATGTCTCCACTGATCTTGACTACTGCTGTCATGAGTCCATGCTGTATATACCTGGCTGCTGCCATTTATCTGGTATTTCACATTGAATGTCACCAAATGAGATCCAAATGCATGGTACTCAAAGCTTACAGTGGCCTGGCAGTGTTCCTGTGAAATGTTTATCCATGGGGATCTTATCCTTGCTATGGCTTGTGAAGAAGCAGTCTGCAAAATTAAATTGTTAACATATTTATTCCAACCATTATAGAATTTTAACTTCATTTATTTATGATTTGAAATCTGTCTCAAAATACAGAAAATCATTTAATAAGAGCTTGTATCATCACTTGAGAAAGAATGCATCACATCAGAGGTACAGTTTTCAAAGATGTTATGCTGCCCCCCCTTACACCTGTCCCCCAACCCCACCCCCCATCCCCACCAAATATACTACCAGAGAGGTACCGTAGTACCTGATATCTGGGTTCCAGCAGGTAGTAGAATCCATCATTCCCTGTGTGATCTGCCTGTGGTCCAGTGCTACTCCTCCCTGGAGCTTCTCTCTTATAAAGAGTCCACTCCAACTCTTCATCTTTATCCTGTGAGAAACCACAGTTATCACCGTCAAATTGAAAGGATGCTGGGGTGGACACAACTGAAATGGAAGACCACAAAAGATGATGTGAAAATAATTGATCATGATCATTGATAGGCATGACTTCCTTGAATTCACTTTGCTTATGCGGAAGGTGCAAGGTGATTGATCTGGACCTCCCAAGGTAAGAGAGTGGTTTGCCTTCATTTGTTTTCAACTTCAGACTCTTTGAGTTATTATCATTCATGGTTTGGGCTTTTGATAACTGCCTGAGTATCATCTTGAAAATATTATTGAAATATAACAAATAATCATAATCTTTGTCAATAAAGAAAGCATATACCTATAAGATATACATATACATATTCATGTCCAGCTTCATGTTTTGTGGCAATTAAGGAAGCAATGCAAGTGTTTAAACACCCCTTCACTTTGAGGATCAAGATAATTTAAAATCTGCACAAAAACAGGTCACAGAAAGATAAAGCTGAAATATTAAGGAAAAAAATTGAACGAAACAAATTAAGAGTTAGCTCTAACAACTTTGCTCAGTACACACACAAACACAGCAAAAAAGTTACACTATGCTGTACTTTAGCATACCTTCTTTACAGTTGCCAGGCACCTGAATCACTCTAATACCATCAATAGCTATATCTCCACCAGTTCCAGCTCCAGCAATACCATTAAACTGAATCTACAAAAAGCATGTGGATGTTTAGTTTTACATGTACCTATTGTAATACAATTTACAAGAAGTTTGGTATCTAATCAGGAAGAGACAAAAAAAAAATGTTCTATGTACATGTACCAAGCCTTGAAAATTTTTAATGATATAAAAGTTTAGAATATCTATAAGCAAATAAAAAACATTTAATTTCATTCAGTTTCTGAACTACTTTGTTTTGTTTTATAAATAAAATCACTCTATTTGCAAAATTACTAAGGCTGTGAAAGAGTTTACAAAAATTTTTATGGATACAGATGGTAGATTAAATGGATTCTTGTACATATATATTTGACAAACATTAGCCATTTAAACAAGCAAACAAGCTTGCAGACAGAGAGACATACAGATGGAAATATAAGACAGACAGGCAGACAAACATACTTTAAAATGAGTAATTCCAGATGGTTGTAGGATCCATGTATATTCCTTCCATGCATTCTGGACCTCATTTAGATGGAAAAGTTTCATATTTCTGTTGAAAGTCGACTGTCCAGATTCCTTTTCAAGTAAAATTACAGTCAGTGCATTGACATCACCACCATAGATGTGTGCCCAGAATCTCAAAGTCACTAATCCACACTGATGAACCTCAAGATCTGGAGTTTCCAAAGCAGCCATGGCACCATTTGACTAAAAGTTGGGTTAGTACATATTATGTTTCTTTAATAAATCAGCTATATTGTAGAATTTTCTCCTAACTTGTATTAAAAGTAGCAAGCAGATGCCAGTTCCAGACTAGTAACACGGGCAACATCTATAGATTTTCTATGAATTTTTTTTCTTATCTCATAATGCATAATAAATTTGGTACACATACTTGTCCATCTACTTCAATATACAAGTAATGTCCTATGCCTTCTTTTGTTATAGGGTCAGCAGAAGGTCCAGTGCTTGCAGTAGGAGTGGATCCGCTCTTCAAAGTCCAGTCAAACTGATCTGATGTGAGCTGATTAAAGTTGCAAATGGTGGAGTTCTCAAAGTCACAGCTGGTTTCATATGGTAGACCTGCAGATGGTGGGTCAGAGATGTTAGACAATAATTAAATGAAGCAACCAAATGCATTCAGAATAAAAAAAAAAACAATTTCCCATCCTACCTTGTAATACAGTAAAAATGTGAATTACTGACAAGCATCATTATTATAATATTTCTTATGAAAAAACTTTTATAAATCAAAACCTTAAGTTTACATGCTATTATTATTCCTTACATAAACAATATATCTAAACAGACTGAACTCTTTACCACTATTATCATCTCCTTTCACTTGTATTTCACACAGATTCATAATTTCATTGTTTCCTTCTATCTGAATGGAGACATATCTGCCTGCTAGTGGACTGGCACAGTTAAAAGTGTCAGTGGCTCCCCCTGCAGGCCATGTTCCAGTATAGTTAGAACACCAAATCCAAGTACTAGAATTATGTCCTCTGTCAATGTCAAACTCATCAGTCACAGATATAACAAAGTCATGAAGATGGTCATCTGGAACACAAAATTTGTCAGGTGAGATACCATGAGTATATGACATAATAATAATAATAATAAGAAGAAGAAGAAGAAGAAGAAGAAGAAAAACAACAACAACAACAACAAACAAATGGTTTTCTTTTTAGGATAATGGAGTGTTAAATTAGTTATAATATTTGTAACCCTACCAGCATGTCCAAATATTTTTGGATGTTTTTAATAGTCTAAAATCACAATTTGAATTCTCAAAACCTTTAATGTTTTACATGTACTAAAAAGGGAACAAATTCAACAAATTCAAAATCTTGGTTTGCTTTCTATTTCTGGCAAACAAAGCAGTTAGTATATGCATAGTTCAACTTACTGCAGCAGTCCCCTCTCCCTGTAATAGTTACAGTGGTTATAAAGGTGTATCTCTGAAGATCTACTACAAACCAAGGATCTGTCATAGCATTAGATTCCCAGCAGGATTTATGTGAATAAATTGGATCTAGGTTTCCATCTAAAGCTTGATAAGGTGAAACTGCATTTGTGCTACCAGCATACGCCTCTTTTCCAAAGGCAAGGTTTTCACCTGCAATTTAAAAGTTCAAAAAATGTTGCAATTTGCATTATAAATACATTCAATTTGATTGAAATTAATGGACATTTGTAAAGAATCAGCTGATTTTCAATTGACCATCTTCAAAATGAAAAAGGAAATGACACAAAAGAAAAGGCCCAAGTGATATGGTTGTAGGAAAGAAGGCCATCTCATATGTGATTGTCTAAATTCAAAACCCAAGCATGTGGGAAATGCACAGTAACCAGATTAATGGGTTGTAATTCAGTTGCTGAGCAGAAATCCAAACCCTATTGCTATGAATCATAGAAGCTAGGTAATTTTTTTTATTTTAACCAGCTACGTCCATGATGATCCAGTTACTTTCTTAGTGGATTCTGGCTCTACTGTTTCCATTCTCAATACCAAGGTGTTAGATGAAATACCAGAAGCCAAGAAACCTGAGTTAAAAGCTGATGGTAAAAACCTTTACCAAACAGATGGCACCAAGTTGACTTTACATGGGAAAGAAGATTTTCCAGTCAGTTTAAAAGCTGAACAGTGTAACTATTAGAGATGTTTATCCCATTCCCAGGATGGATGATGCATTGCAGATTGGATTCATTGTCAGGTTCAAAGTGGTTTTGTATATTTGACCTAGCTTATGGTTACTGGCAAGAAGAAATGGATGAAAAGGAGAAGCTTAAGGCTGCCTTTGCAGTGTCCCACCATGGAGTTTATCATTTTAATGTGATGCCATTTAGGTTAATCAATGCCCCTTCAACCTTTGAAAGACTTATGGAATCCATGTTGGCTAGCTTGAATTGGAAAACTTGTTTAGTATAATAATCTGGATGATGTTATTGTATTTGGTAGAAGTGTTGATGAAACTTTAAACTGGATGAAAGATGTGTTTGATCAACTGAGAGCATATAATTTAAAATTGAAATCAAAGAAATGCCATTTGTTTAAACAGCAGGTTCAATTTCAATCATTTCAGAAAGTGGAGCTGAAACTGATCCTCAGAAAGTAGAAACCATGTTGTCTTGGCCAGTTCTAAAAGATGTGCATGAACTTAAAAGCTTTTTAGGATTGTGTTCCTACTACCAAAGGTTCATTGGAAATTCTGCCAAGATAGTAAGCTGTTTGAATAAGTTGACTGAAAAAGGACCCAGCATTCTGTTGGACATCTTCCTGTGTTGATGCATTCAATCAGTTAAAATCTATATGCCTGTTCTAGCATTTCCTTATTCTACTGGATAATTTGTGTTGGACACAGATGCCAGCAATAACAGCATCGGAGCTGCTCACTCTCAGATTCAGGATGTGAACACATATTCTAGTAGAATTCTTGTGGAGCATGTCGCAGGAGTGTCTTTTCAAAGACCAGGTCAGGGACATGAAAATGTTGATGCTCTGTGTAGAAGACCTTATCCACTGCATAAGCAACAGTGTTCAGATCCTACACCAACCAAAGTTCAGTGGCAAATCACCAGCACTGACCCAAAAGACAAGGGTTCATGGGCATCAAATTGGTTACCTTTCATTTCACTCAAAGAGATGGCTCAACTACAGGGAAAAGACCACATTTTTTGCAGATTAACTGAATGGAAGAAATGTAAACAGTGTCTACTCTTGGAAACAATAAGTGATCAGAGTAAGTCACTTAAGCACTACTGGAGTCAGTTTGACCAGCTAGAACTGAAAAATGGAGTAAAATGGTGAGAAATTCCATTTTGGAGATATGGTATGGTTGCACTCTCCACTTGGAAAAAATGTCCAGGCCCTAAACTACAGTGTCAATGGGTAGGGCCATTTACAATTGTTGGCAAAATGAGTGATGTGGTGTATAAGTTGCAGAAGAATGCCCAATCAGATTTGAAGATTATACATGGGGCTTGGCTTAAAAATACCATGGAAGTGCTATGGCTCCATGGTTTGTTCCGGAATTGAGAAACAAAGCGGTATCAGTGCAGAAGGTTGGGATTGCCAGAGCTTTCCCTGGATTAGGGGGCAATGTTGGTGCCAAGAGTGTGAAGAAATCTATTGGAAACCAAGCACTAATCTTCTATTTCTAATACTTTCAGATACTAGTAACATTGTACTTTCTGAAGCAAAGTCAAATAACTTTCAAAATCTTCAAATTAGCATTTTAATTACTAATTACAAAACTTTATTTGGGGAGGGGGTAGGAAGGGGGATTATTAATTCATATTGGCCAGAATTATTTTAGTAATTACAATAACCAAAGTTTCAATCATTTTTTCAAAACATTTTATGTCAAAATATCTATGCAATTCTGTATTTTTTCATAATTATATGCTTACAGTTCATCTGGGTCAAAATGTTCACATCATCTATAGCATAATCAGACTTATGATTGTTTCCCCTCTGAGCTTCAAAAACAATCTGAAATTTGAAGAATATGGCATAAGTATAAATTCTATGGTGACAGTTTATGTATTATTCTTTATATGACTTTGAGGTTTTGATTTAGTCTGACATATATTCCCAAAGTACCGGTACATAAAACATAATGCATTGTATCCAGTCCCTTTAAATCTATACCACTATAAATACTTAAAATAAATATACATATATCATTTTCAGCATCATACCTGAAACTTGATATTTTTAAGAGGTAATAGTAATAACTTGGATTTCCATTTGTCTTCTGAACTGCCTCCTTGTGACCAAAGCAGTTTGTCATTGCTGCCATCATCCAGGTGATAATAAACCCGTAGGTCACCAAGTGCAGCACCAAAAGCATGGTACCAGAAATTTAAAGCAGCTGCACAGGCACCAGTTGAGCCAAGGTCAATCCAAGGTGTTCGTACTCGTGCTATTGCTCCATTGGGCTAAAAACAATGACCAATGAAATAAAATGAAATATTATTAATTAAATTGAAAGCTAGTATTATGTTAAATTCAAGCAATCCTTATTCCTACAAAATGCATAGCACAAGAAGACCCAAAGACATTTATTGCTGAAGCAATTCAGTTGGGGGCCATTCCATAAAAAGCAAACATTTTTAAAATGAGTCATATCTGTGACACACATTTTGTGCAATATTTACATAATTCTTACTCATCCCTTTTTTTCCTTTGCTTTATTTATACTGTAGCCAGCTCCAATAACAGAATGAAATCAACAGCAATTCAAAAGTTACATAAAACTGTTATACAAAAGTTATATAAAACTGTTATACAAATATTACACAAAATGTGTACATCATTAACAAGACTCAAATGAAATATTCACTTTTTAATGGAAGAACCTTTGGATATCATTATCGGTCATTAAACAGACTAAGTGCTTTTTCTTTCTACTAGTAGTATATTTTTCCTCTCCATAAAATGTTCTAATTTTTTCATGTCTGACTTTGAGGAAGAAATCTAATTAAAAATAAACAATTGCATTCATCATTACCAACCTTTTAAGCAAAGCAGTAGGAATGTAAAAGGCACTAAACAAAGTATTGGAAATGCCAGGGGAATCTTAGACTAAGTTTGAAATTTGGCATACCTGAGGTGAAGGGTCAGATCCCTCCAAATAGAAGAAATAACCAGTTGTATCTGACATATCTGTATAATCTCCACTAGGTCCAGTGCCAGAGCTCACAGTCTGTCTTGTAGATAGGAAGAAGTTTGTATCATCATCCCAATCCTGCTCAAAGCCACACACCCCATCTTCAAATGTACAGCTGAACTGTGTCAATGCTAAAACAAACCATAGATGATGTGCAAATAAGTGGTCTCTGGCTAAAGAAACATGAAAAATTATACTCAACTTGATAAATCAATCAGCCAACTGATCACATGCTTAAAACTTGAGGAATTGCCCATTGAATGATTGCTTCCAATATAAGATAATTATTTCTTCTATAGATTAACCAATTTACAATATAAATACAAACAAAAATACCTAACATTTCATACAGTATTGAAATAAAGCGATAAATTTAAAGGCTCTTAAAAGTATTATTTTGATTGTTTATTCCAATATTTATGTCTCATAATTAGAATTTTTATTCCAATATTTATGGCTACTAACTAGACATCTGGAGGCACAAACTAGTCCTGGGGTGCCTGTAAGTGCAATGGCCAATTGAAAATTTGAATATATGAACACATATAATTTTATCCAGTTTACAAGCATGTCTGTTCATGCATACATAAACCTCTTTTATCAAATCTTATATTAATCACAACAGAGATGATATACATAAACCATTACCATTTTCATTGCAGTCGGTTTGGGAAACAGAAATGTCATCCACTGCTAAATCACTCTGTTCTCCATCATCTGTTGTTGCTGTAAATCGCACCTGGAAAAAACAATAAGCTTAAATAAAAAGGCCAGCTAAATCATCATTTAATTTCTTTTGAAAAAATGCACATGAGATGTACAGAAAAACTAATACTTAAATGACATTTAAATTGGTACACATCATAACTTATTTTCTTCAATTCTTTTATTTTAATTGACAATTTTAAAAGAATGAAAACAATCCTTAAAAAATGTAAACATACTACTTTCAAACTTTTAAAAGTTTATAAATTGAGTAGAATGTCATTGTCAGTACTTACTCTGAATTTACTGAATAGTTTGAAAGAAGATTCGACAAGAAACCACTTGTTGTACGAGATAATTTTTATGAAGTGAATCCAGTGTTCACCCCCATCATCCACTAACTTTGAAGACAAGGAGTGGAGATCATTGCCATATCCATGGTACCAATAACGCAGTGTTACAAGACTACAATTATAGGCCAAATCAATGGGAGGTGTTTCAAATACAGCATACTCTTCCTCACCCTAAATAAATAAAATGTAAACTGTAGCATTTTGAGTGACTACTAAATGAACATACGCTTCTTCTGTACACAGTTAACCCCATTAACTATGGGATATTTCCATTAATGTCTTCTGTCAAAAATCAGGTTGGAAGAGAATGATACAGTGTATTGACCTTCCTTAGCAAAATGAAAACTTTGAAGCAATATTGTGGAAAAATTGCAGCAAATTTGCTGCAAACTAAAAGTTTGCAAACTAAACTAGTTTGCAGGAGTTTGCAAGAAAAAATTGTATTGCAGCTAATTTGCAACAAATTTGCAATAAAAACTTAAGTTTGCAACAGGTCTGCAAGAAAAGCCTTTATGTTTTGGCAAATTAGCGATAAATTAGCGGCAAATTTGCAAGAATATATTAAGTTTGCAGTAAATTTGCAAGAAAGTATTTAAGTTTGCGGCATTCCTGATATTTGCTAAGGGCTATGTTCTTCAAGTCAAAAAATTAAGTTTTGACATTCAAAATAACAAAAAGGCACATCAATTCACTCCTTTTTTTGTAACTCACACTACCACATTTAGTATTTAAAGTAGTTTATGAGATTTTTAAATAAGCAGTTATATCATGCACTTTATAGAATAGAAAAACTAAAAAGAAAATAGCAGCACCTGTAAAATATGATTTTAAAAAATCAAAAAAGCAAGCTACTGGTACTCTATTGCTCTATTCTATGTAGTAAAAGCAACAAATGCTATATAAAATGATTTTTGTTATTATAATATTTTGTATATGAAAGTTGATAATTTTTGCCCTTTGAAAAGATACCGTACTACTTACAAAGTCTGTGCCGTCTATATAGAAGTAGCTCCCAGAACCTGAATGGTCACTGCTAGGACCAGTGCCTGATGTGCTGGTAGTACCACTATTACGCTGCCAGTCACCATTATCATCTGTTCGCTGGGTGACGCCACAGTCATTTGTGTCAAAGTTACAGGTAAAATTGTAAGTAAGCTCTGTAAAAATAAAACGAATGTTAAAATATATCAGCTGATCTTTGTATGACTTTTCTATTTCTTATTTAAGGTGAATGTAATAAACATACAATATGTTTGGTTGACACGCGTAGAGCTGTACAATTTTGCATATTTACTCAGACAATGTAAAAATTCAACATTTTTGATTGACATATGAAATTCCTGTTTATGAAAAAAGATGTTCGTTATATTCTTGCAATTCTAGTTGGTCATGCTTGAAAATTGTTTAAGCCATTGGCTAGAAGAAAAAAACATTCAAATTTTTAAGACTTGGTTCCCACAGATTTAGATTGATCCATCTGGATTGACCTAACTCCCTGGGGGTTCATGCTAAATTGCTGTCAGCTTTGGGGAGCCGAGTGCACTCAAAAGTTAATTACAACCTTACAGCTTTTAGTAGGCAGGACAGACATTTAAGCCGATTGTTGACAACAATCTAGTGAGACTCCCCAGGGGGATAGATTGATCTAAATATCTGTGAGAAAGGTCTCTTACTACACTCACCCCCACAATCAGATGGGACTGTTAAAGTAACATCATCTATTGCATATTCTCCTTCATCTCCTTGGGATTCAGTTTCAAACACAATCTAAGTAAATGAACAGAGTGAGTACAGGGTTGTGCCTCAAATGTCATAAAATATAAAAGGCATTTAAGAATTTAAAATCCTTAGTTAAAACACTTATATAATTAGGCTCAATGTCAATTATATATAATAATCTTCTTACAACAAAATTTGTATCCGAGTCTATTTCCAGTGTAACTTCACGCCAGACATCATCTTCATCAGTTCCATCATGGCGCCACAACAGATTCTCACTGCTTCCAACTTTCTTCAGCTTTACATTCAGGCCAGCGAGATCATTTCCATCAGCATTATACCAGAAACCCAGTGTGGCACCACCACAGCTTGAGTGAAAATTGGGAGACAGCAGACGTGCCGTGTGACCATCCTCCTGCAAAAAACAAAAAAAAAAAAAAAAAGAAAAAAAAGAAAGAATGGGCACGATGGATACAGGCCGATGATATAAAAAGAAGTTTTAAATAAAGCACAGGTGACTTAAAAAGCTACATAACTTAAACCACTAAATTTGACAGAACAGGTGGAGTATATGCATGTAAATAGAGAGCACTCCAACAGCACAGACATCCGCCAACAAAAAATTAAGGCAATAGGAAAGGGTTATGACTTGATCATTTCGATGGGGAAAATTATGAATTTTATTTTTTTTTAAATCACTTATTCTAAAAATTACAACACTCCCATTGAAGGTATAACAACATTGAAAAGGAGGATATTATAGCTCCATTATATACTGTAAAAGCACCACAAATACTGGTACTACAGTATACAGAAATATATTTTTAAACCTTTCAAAAAATGAATTTGCATAATTGATAATTTTTCCCCATTGAGAGGATCGAATCATATTTCTGTATTCCAAAAATACTGTATAAGCAGACTCTGATTTAATTTAATTTTGGTATTTGAGACATCTTGTCCACTGACAAACAGGCAAACCAAATGCTAATTGATGAAAATATAGTTTTTAAGAGAGAGAAAAAGAATTATAGTTACATCATTCAGCTCTGTGTTGACATAATAGTAATATCCAATTCCTGAAGTGTGATCCTGACTGGGGCCTGTATTTGATTTATCTGTGTCCTGGGTGTTGAGATACCAGTCAAAATTATCATCAGAGTGTCCATCTTGTACAAACTGACAAGTGCCATCATCAAATGTACACTGGTATGGAGATGCTTGTGACAACTCATGAGCTGAAAAATGATTTAAATAATTTTACAGCAAAGACTATTCATTGAGATAAATTCTTTGGCTTTAAAGACAAGACACTCAATGAAATACTGGGACTTTTCTTAACATGAACATCCATATGGCATACTGACCATTCTTGAAATGAATTCCCTTTCCAAAATTTAAGCAAATTAGACAGGATTAGGCAACATACAATCAGGTCAAAAAAAAAAATCTTACCAGTGTTCACTGCACAATCAGCTTGTGATATAGAAATGTCATCAATTGCAATGTCTGCTGCCTCACCATCCTTTCTTTCAGCATAAAACTGTACCTGTAGAAAGTATTATAAGTATTAATTAATGAAAAGTTTTTTTGCAACATGTTTTATAAGAGAACTTCTCATTCTATTAGTGCCACATCACAAGTGCCATATATGATTAACCCAAATCTTTAAATTTACTTTTTAGTTTTATAGCATGACACATGTTTAACTTTTCAACAGCCTCCTTAAGAATAGATAATCAACCTCTCTCTCTCTCTCTCTCTCTCAATACCCCACAACCAATTTTCATTTTTTGCATCCAGCAGTATTGTAGTTTCAAGTATTTATAATTTTGTTAAATATTCATAAATTTTGTTTGCTACTTTAATCAGTTAAATAAAACTCCCAAAAACTTCCACACAGTTTATGATTTAAATTTGATAGCTTAATTTTTAAGTGAGAGAGAGAATAAGTTACATCATTCAGCTTTGTGTTGCCATAATAGTAATATCTAATTCCTGAAGTGTGATCCTGATTTCCACACAGTTTATGATTTAAATTTGATAGTTTAATTTGTTTTCTTAACTGCTTGAAAATCATGCTAATTAATAATATGCTTGAAACAATATTTTTGTGGTTTTAACTGGTTTTAAATTGACTGGTATCTGATCCAGGCATATCTGATGTTATTATTGAATGGGCAATTGGAAACAAATGAAAATTTACCTTAAAATTCACACTAGGCTTAAAAGAGGATGTAACAAAACGCCAAAAATCTTTCTCCCATTCTTTGATATGAAACAGTGTGTAACTTCCAATGGAATCCACATAGGACACCTTGAATGACTTCCACTTATTTCCCAATGCATGGTACCAAAGATTCACAGTGACAGTGGTACACTGTGTGTTGAGTACTGGAAACAGTGGGGTCTCCAGGATGACATACTCATCGTCCTCCTAAAAATACATGTAAGAAAAGGTTTAACATTACTCCAAAGAGAATCTTTCCGTTGTAACCACATAAAAAAACTAGACATATATGGACACAAAAAAAAAAGCAATGCTGCAATAATAACATTTTTTATTCAAAGAATGTTTAAAAATTAATATGATAATGCTGATTTTCACAATGAATCTTTATCTTTATATAATTATCTTAATATAATTCAACAACAAATCTGCTCAGAAAATCTTAAGTTAAACAAAAGAAGGTTTTGCAACTAAAAAAACTTATGCTTTAGAGTACAAAATTAACAGAGAAATCAAGACATGGAGAGACATAGTGACCAGAACATGCAAAGAGACTTTTTAGTGCCCTGTCTGAATAAAAAAGGAGATCTCAATTCTGACCATAAATATATGAACAAAAAAGAAACAGACCTTACAGATAGCCACTAAATCTTCACAAAAACTAGGAAATACACATATTATATTAGTTTGTCTACCATCAAGGTATCTTATTTACATACACCTGCTTGATTTGTATGTGCATGCATGTACGGCTAGGAAGGTGGGGGGGGGGGTGCATTAAGACGATGGCATGCATGCACAAGTACAAGTACAAATTACACTTATACATGCTAATAGTAGTCTATTAGCCCACCATACATGTACACTCACCATAGAATTTGCCTCCATGTACATGTAGTATCCAGAGCCTGTGGTGTGGTCACCTGATGGCCCAGTGCCGGACGTACTTGTAGATCCTGCGTGTCTTGTCCAGTCTCCATCGTCTTCTGTAGACTGCACCAGACCACATTCATCTTGTTCGAAATCGCAGTTAAACCCTGTAAAAATCCTCCATTGTTCAGAATGAATAAGGCATCTGTGAGAATTTTTATAATTCATATAACTTACAGTAATAAAATAGATTTTTTATATATGAGATTATATATAGTAGGCTCAACATAACAATCCTTCTTCATTTACTTCCCCCCACTCCCTGAAAAAAGGAAACAAGGGAGCTTCTAAACAAAGACTTTCTAGGTGTTACTGAATAAAAATACCTACACCATCCACCACAGCGACCTGCTGTTATTGAAATATCATCCAAACAGTAATCACTTTTTGAACTTGTGCCCCTAGATGCTTCAAACACCACCTATTGTAAAATATATATATATATATATATATATATATATATATATATATATATATATATATATATATATATATATATATATATAACAGCTTAGGAAACAAACATTTAAGATAATCATTCAAAAACATACTGAAAACTGATGCCATTAATGACAGTTACATGTACCTGGCAATACTTTTTCTTTTCATTTTGGTTATATAGTTTGTATCCATTTTTGATTGATAAGCAATGCTCCAGCTGCTTAATAGATAACAAGTAGCATCCTCATGCATATATTCTACCAGTAAACAATTCTGAAGAGCTCCAATAAGCATGCTGTCTTATACAGGCCTATCCAACTACCACACTCGGCACCGAATGATCCTGAATTCACCAGTATATCGGACCACACTACCCGTTTTCAAGGTGTGTGTCAGTATACATGCTTCGTAGTATCAGATGTACATGACACCAGTCTTGCCTTGTACGCCATGTGACAGTGATGATTCTCAGCGGGGTTAGAAAGTAGTGCATCTCATCTCAAAATTTGTTCCGGGGTATATTGTGAAATGCGTACTGACACCTTGAAACCAGGTAGTTTGGCCCGATATACTGGTAAATTCAGGATCATTCGGTGCCAGGTCTGGTAGTTGGGTATAGGCCTGTTACAGCACATTCAGAACAAGTTGATCCGTGGACTAACAGATCTGTGGACCAAATAATATGGCCAACCCCACTAAAAAACAGTGCCACTAATTCCCTGATGGTCTCTCTTCCTCCACAAGTGCCATCACTGTAGGGGCCAATTAAAACTCAGAGCCAAGATTTAATCTGTTTAATGGCACATGTGAAGATGCGTGGGGAGACCATCAGGCAATTAATACTTTCATTTTAGTTGGGTCGACCATATTTAGTCAGCGCATCAGTTAGTCTGTGGATCATCTGTTGTGATGCAATCTTATAATTAATCGTTGAGTATCAGTCACTAATCAGCTGACATAATTAACTTCAAGTCTATTCAGCAAATGGAAAGCTGTTGTAATGTGAACAGATATCACAACCTATAAAAATAAATGTACTGAAGTATTCATCACACATTAATTATCTGACCTCCACATTAATTATCTGACCTCCACATTAATTATCTGAACTCTACAGCCAGTAATGCAGTATGCAACACAATATTTTATGCTATCTCATACAAGAGGAAATGTGGTAATACACCTATACCCCTGTTCCTATTTAAGGCAGTAATTTGACCCTGATATATTAGTGTAATACTCAATAGGAATGACCTACATAATTTGATGTTTAAAATTAAATTTGTTCATGAAAACCTAGAGGTATCTTATTAGTATAAATACCCCCTCAAATGCAGGGGAGGATCAGTTGTAATCGGTGGCACTAGAAGAGGGATTGGCTCTAATAAAGCTCAGTAACACCACTGCTGTCTTGTTGTTGTTGCTGGTAATCCCTGCTTGTGACACATGCAGACAACACAGTTACAATAACAGTTCAAGTAATAGACATATACACCAGCATAGTAGTAAGCACAGCAGTGAATATGTTACATACAGCATATATGTATGCTTTTGACAGTGGTGTGTAATGTATATAGTGTATCTGGTGGATCGATAAAAAAAGATGTTACTAATTTCAAAGTGCAGTAGCTTCAACAGTTCACAAGCTTTTAAATCAAAATTTTTTCTGAATTTTTGATATTGGTCAATCGCGATAATTTGACAGGAGTCAAAACTGCCAGGCAGTGACACCTGTCAGAAGTCACACAGGCTGGCATGGCTTTTTTGACATAAAGATTTTAATTTTTGTACATGTCAAAAACAAGAAAGTCAAAGAGTCATGAATTATCCAGCATTTATTAAAAACACAATTTTTCTAAAATATTCTGAATTTCATAGCAATATCTTCAAAACTGATCAAGTTACTGAACTTAAAAAATTAAAAACATTTTAAAAAAAGAACACTCTTTCTAAAAAAAAACAAAAAAAACTAATAATAACTATTACATTTCCTGAAATCAATTTTTCCATAGAAAAAAATGCCTACCTTATAAGCTGAAGTAGTAGGAATTTCAACAGACCCAGTTTTCCATTGGTTGTGAGATTCGGTAACCCCTGGGTGTGTCCATACCGGCCCATACAGTGTGCTGTCACCCACCTTCATGTAAAACACCTTCAGATGACCTAGACCATCTCCATAGGCATGATACCAAAAACTCACTCTTCCAGTGCAGCCACTAGGGTTATTCAGGTAGGGTGTGGCCAAACGAGCTTTATCAGAATCGCTCTGGAATAACCAAGGTTAATAACTAACATATTTTTTTCATAAAATCATTCTCTCTAACAGAGGCTGGCCATCTGAGTGATAAGTTAATGTCAATTTCATACCTATATTTTTGCTCAACCTCTGTCATTTTTGAACAGATGAAGCAGTTACTTCGTTTTATCTTTGTGCAGCCATTGTGTAGGTAGGTACTAAACACCCATTATGTCATCTGTCTTTGCTTATCTGTCTGCCAAACAACTGAGATGTGTTATGTTGTAAGGAGGCATTTAAGATCAAAATAATTTTTACTATTAGATTAGTAAATCTAATTTTACTGATAATAATTCTGGCAGAAGACTGTTAAAATTGGAAGATGGATCAACAAAGATAATTTGTAGGACTGTCAGAAAATATTTGGTTCCACCCCAGAGGTACACTGTATCATTTTCATTCCATCACTTTCACCCTTACCATAAAATCATCAGATGCCTCAATGTACATGTAGTGTCCTGACCCACTGGTGTGGTCTGCACTGGCACCCGTACTTGATGACAAAGTGCTTCCTGTTTTTCTGATCCAGTCCACATCATCATCTGTTTGGTCAATCATGCCACATTTATCAGCATCAAATGAACAGCTCCAGGCTGAAGAGCAAAATTTTTACCTCTTGGAAATATTCAATTGTCCTTTGAGTTAAAACCATTTTTTAATTTACTACATGTACTCTAGTGCTGTTTTAACAAAAATATTCTTTTATTGGAAAATGTGAATGTGACAGCCAATATAATTAGTGTCAAATTGATATTAAAAAGGGCAATTGAATAGAAAGTTCAGGAAACACATGTACAGTATGTACATCTGAATAATATGGAAAAAGTAACAAAATTAACATGACACTGCAAAGTTTTTTTTAAAGTGACATTCCAGTATTTATGAAAAAATGGTTTAAAACAATATGTTAGAAATAATAATGTGAAAAACTAAACCTCATTTTGAATTTACCCTAAATTGAAAACAACATTTAAGCATGTTGAAAGCCAAAATACAGCAGTTTCCACTTTTCAAACATTCTAGTTTCAGTGGTGCAATTGCTTGGGTGTAATGTACAAATTAATAAAGCTTAGACCCCATTCCCAGAGATTAGATCGATCCAACTAGATCGACATAACTCCCTGGGGGTTCACACTAAATAGCTGTCAGCTGAGCGGGCACGAAAGTTAATTACCCCCTTACAGCTGGTAGTAGGCGGGCAGTTATTTAAGCCGGATTATCTGACAGTAATCTATTGAGACTTCCCACGGGGATAGATCAATCTAAAATCTATGGGAATGTGCCCTTAAAGTCACAAACACACAAAATATAACAACTAAATAAAAATCATAGCTGGGCCCATTTTCTAAACTGACCTGTATTTAAGCCTGACAGCAAGTATCTGTAAGTGATAATTAGTATCCCTCTGTTTATTTCTTTTCAAAACTATTCAAACATATTTGACTCGATCAACAACTTACGTAAATTTAAAGGACAATCCTCTGATACGGTCACATCATCAATGCCATAATCTCCTGTGTAACTACTGCCACAGGTCACTTCAAATACAAACTGAAACAAATACATTTTTTGGACCTGAGTGTATGAAATTCCAGTTTGGTTTTCTTTTTATTTTACAGGGATCTGTATAAAAAAAGATATTTCAGCAATCTATAAAATGTAAACCCAAAATATTTTGCAAAAAGACATTATAACTAGATCAGCAGTCTATGTGGCCATTCAGAGTGGGTTAGTGTGCACTAGATAGTTTAATGCCAGTTGGATTGATTTGTCTCTGCAGGGAATCTCGCTGTAATCAGCTCAGTGAACTCAGTGTAATCAGCTCAATTGCCTGGCATGCCCCCTTCAAGAAGCTAGGGGGTAATTAACATTTGTGGGTAAAAACAGAGCTTCCCCCTCTCCCCTGCTCCAAATAGTTACTTATCCCTTGCTTCACGAGAGGGTGTGTCAGATAAATGAGCTGATTACATTAAGTGCACTTCAGCTAGAATACCCACAGAGATAGATCCTGCTGGTGCGATAACTTTAACTCTGAATGCAGCCTTAGTGACTATTGCCCCTCTAATTTATAACAGCATGGTCATGTCATGCTGCAATAAATCCTTGTTCCTAATCAACCACAAAAACATACCTGGAAGGGTTGGTTGCTTGAAAATTGAACTGTCATCTCCTTCCAGCTGTTTGATGAAGGGGAGTTGACATGGCTCCATAATGGCCCCTGTAATGTGCTGTCTCCCACTAGAAGATACTTGACATCAAGTCTGCCCAGGTTGGAACCATACGCATGGTACCAAAAATTCAGCACAAATGAGCAGCTGCCTTGACCACTGGAGATAACTGGTGTCAGAAGTCTGTCAATGTCCCCAGATTGCTGAAAAAATTTATATATCATGACATCACACACACATACACACACACACACACACATATATATGATAACTTTTATTCTGAACACAGTCTATTGCCCCCCCTCTCTAGAAATGAAACTTTTTACAAGTGAAAACCTCTAAGTCAAGTCATATATCATTTGTTTAAATAATAAAAGTTTACTCAAAAAGGTTATAAATAAAAATAACATCACTTTATTCATGTGGCACTTTGATGGACAACATGAAAAATGTATAATCACTATTAGTGAGTCCCAGGTTTAAAGCAATAATAACTCTTCATTTCGGCCAAAAAATGAATTTTCCTGGAGTAAACAACAATTTTCCCATACTTACCAATGATTAATGAATCCATTTTTACATTCAAAGTTAGTCCCTGGTTTTTTTCTAAAAAGTTTGGTTTTTTGTTAAAATCTCTTAAGAGATTTTAACAGAGTATAGCCATCAATGGAGGTCACGTGGTCTTAAGACAAGCTCAGATATCAGAATAATAGCTATAACTGCCTTTTTTGTGGTAAAACAGAATATATTATATTTCTATGAGTTATTCACAATGTTTTTATTGTGAAATATAGATCTCATACGAAGAGTTATTATCCCTTTAACCTACATTTCAGAACATTTACATGTACCCAGAAGGCATAGTTGCTTTGGATCAACGTTGAAAACAGGTTGATACATTGAATTGCCGTTGATCTACCTAAATTCAATGTAAAATCAACGTTGATCCGGCCACGTCGAAACACCNCTTTTCATGCAAGAATGTTGTCTAACAACTGGGGTTCTTTGACATTGATACAACGTTGTTATCTGAGGTTGAGTCAACTTTCAAATCCAATGTTTATCCAACGTCTTATCAACGTTATGGTTCAATGTTGTTTCAATGTTAAACAACATATTTTGCCCGCTGGGTAGTTGTGTCACATAGAATAAAATTACATAAACTGCAATTTCAATCAGAGTCATAACTCAACAATCTTTTGAAGACTCACTTTATTTGAAGTTTCTGCATAATAATAGTATCCACTGCCTGAAGTGTGGTCACTGGAAGGACCTGTGTAACCACTCGGGGTGCTGCCCTTGAACAAGTTCCACATGTGGTTGACACTGCTTGTGTCAACATCAGTAATGAAACCACAGCTGCCACTGTCAAAATTGCAGGACAAACTTGTGACAGCTGAAAAACATTTTATTAATAATTTATTTCAGTACAAGTGCATTTTAAAATGCCTTTGACCTAGCTAGCAAATAAACTATTTATTCATATATGGAAACAATATATTATTTTGCCTCCAGAAGGCAAGATAAAACCTCTGTTTAAAAAAATTTTGTCCAACATAGAGAAGTATACTAAAAAAATTAATGAAAATAAAATCAATACTTCTGATAAAGACATCAATCAGTGTTTCTGTTATTTTAAACATAAGAGCCATAATATTTATTTAACTGAAATTAAACTTATGATATGGCACTTCCAGGCCACCATACTTACCCAGTACCGTGTACCTATATCAAATTTGAACCCAGAGCAAACATTTTTATTCTTCAGATCACCCCCCCCCCCCAGTCCCCCAGCTACGGGACCGACAAACTGTATGACTACTGTATTATAAGTATTATTATTGTCAGCGGGCACAAAAGAAATGGCAAGTGCGTCTCGCTTTCAGGTTAAGTATTGGGTTCAATTGACGATAGCCATCGAAGACACAACAACTGACAAAGGGACGAGGCATGCAGCATCTGTTTCACTGGCTTGAAAATTTGCCGAGTCTTGCTGACGATATGGTCAAACAATCGGAAAAAAAATGGTCGAACAATCGGAAGAAAAAATTCTGTCACATAATTTTGACGTTTGGTCTAAATGATTGCGCCCAGAGAAGATAATTAATTTTTTAACTGTTTGGCACATTACCGTAACAAAACCTGCCAGAACTTTTCATACTGGTAAATTGACAATTTTTATGTTTGCACCATCAAGTCTGCACTTGCAGTCACAAACCCAAGACTGGAGATCACAAGGGCTATTTCCTTTAAATAAGGCCTTGGAGAGATCACTGTTAGAGCGTAGCCTAGACGGTTCTGTTTTGCCCTTTATTGGTTTGCTAGTTAACACCCTAACGCAAAAAGTTCATGGTTATGGAAGGACTTTCATAAAATGTTCAGGATAGGCCATAAATTGGCTAACTTGGAATCAATTTGTTTTAGCCACTTATCTATTGATTAACTATTTAATAAATTGAAATGAGAAATGACTTGCCTTGGTGGAGGTCTACTTTGTCTTAATACTGCTTTCTAGTATTACTCTAATTTTTTTTAGCCATGATAAGTGTTTACTCACCGGCAGGACATTCTTCTTGAGTAATTACAATATCATCAAAAGCTCCATCTCCGTATGGATAACTGGAACTGTCAAACTCTAGCCACCACCCAATCTAAAAATTACAGATAGTTTGAGTTATAATAATAGAAAGATACATTCTACATTTTCTTAAAAACACGTTACTATGGCAGTTTTTTAAATCTTTTTCTGTAAGTATGCAATGACAACCCTACTGATAACTACACTTTCAGTAAAAGTGAGATTATTTCTGCGTTTTGCAGCAGCAAGCTACCGGAATTGTTCATAAGTGCAAAATCAGTTAATGTTTTTTTAGATTAAGATCCAGTGTGTCCCTTGCCCCCTTTGCCCCCAGTGACCAATAAAATGTTAAAAATATCCTGGTGAAGACTTTAAAGAAGCAAAGCTGAATTTTTCTGTGGAAAACTCATGACCTAAAAGTCCTGAACCATTAGTGTGATTGGAAAACTGTTTTTGAATCACTGGACATGAGCAAATCTAAAAATGTGCACGAGAGGTCATTTTTTAAATAAAGAATACATTGCTATTTCTGTCAATACAGTCATTTCAAGCAAAACAATCAATAAAAAGAACCAAAACCGACCAAAACAAACCCATCAGAATTTTTTAAAAAACATATCCCCTACCGATAGCAAAACTTTCGCATATGTTCTATTAGGTCCAACCCTTTTGCTTGTTGAATACACGCCGGCGAATATAGCAGACCATATTTATTTATTTTTTCAAAACGGCAATATGACTACATTGATTGGGTTGCACTGCATTCAGTCTCCTCAAAAACAACTGGACTACTCAGTTTCTGTGTAACTTAATGTTAATACTGTGTAACTAAATGTTAATATACATGTACTCCCCCACCAAATAAAAGTGTCACTCCTAATGCAATGCGTAGAGTGACACAGAAAATCATCTCATAGACGAATGTTTTTTACTCAACTTCTAAAATGATTTTCTCACAAAATTTTACGGATTGTAGGCCTACAACCAATAAATAAGCTAGCCATAGTAAAAAGTACCAAAGTCACATTTTAGTATTTATTACTGTATCCTCTGGGTTGGAGGACGCACCTGAGGTGTCTGTGCGTCGAATCAAAATTTTAGGTAGCGTTTGCAAAGTGATGGCGTTCCACATGCAAGCACCCCGCACACGGTGAGCAATTGGCGCGCGCCACTTGCGCTGCGCTAGATGCTCGGGCTCCTCAGCTCCCCGCAAACGATGCGCTCTTTCAGGCCTACCCAACTACCAGACTCGGCACCTACGGATCCAGAATAAACCGGTATATCAGACCACACTACCCGTTTTCAAGGTGTGTGTCAGATCGCATTACAGAGTATCATAACCCATCACAAATTTTGTAAGCCTACCTGTCATCCGGGTATCGCGCCTCGTTTTCGTCAAGTAGGAGTCGTATGAATACAACAACATGGAAATCGGCAATCCTCGGCTCATTCCGCAAGGTCCATACTATTGTCGAGTGCGGAGACATTGGAGTAGTTCCGAGTGACAACATTGCGACAGACGACTCACTGAATCTTGTCGAGAAAATATTTAACCCCCGACAGAATATGCTTCCGCTATCAAAATTAG